ACTCCCAGAATTCCCCAGCCAGCAGAGCTGGCTGGGGAATTCTGGGAGTTGAAGTCCACCCATCGTCCAGCGGCCAAGGTTCAGAAACACTGTCTTAAATGTTCAACTTGGGGTGTGCAGCCCTCTGCAACACACAAACACACACACACACACAGCTGTTAACATCCCCCTCCCTCCTTTAAATTCCAAAATATCTGAACCTGTACTTTGCAAACTTTCCTGATCGCTCAAGGAGGTGCAAGTTGCCACCTGCAGTGGGGCTTCCACAAGTTGGGGGCGCTGCATTCAAGCCCCCCACCCACCCACCCATTGCCGGTCTCTCTGCCCACCCACACCCCCCCACATCCTCGGAGCCTCCCTCCCCTCCCAGCCCCCATTTGCACCCAGCAGCGCCCACCTCTCTCTGCAGCCTCCGGGGGCAAGTCCAGACTTTCGGGGGCGCAAGGTTGGAGCTGCTGCTCCTCCTTCCAGGATGGGGGGCTCTGGCTCGGCCCTTGACAGGAGGGGGGCGCAGGGCTTTCCTCCTGGCAGTTTGCACCCTCCATTCCTTCCCCCCCCCTCTTTTCCTGCAAAAGGGGACGAGAAGCACCAATTTTAGACGCTGCAATTTTCACTACCGGCGGCGTTGAAAATGGCAAGCCAGGTGAAGCTGGGTGGGACGTCAACTCCCAGAATTCCCCAGCCAGATGTGGCTGACTGGGAGGGGGGGCAGAAGGAGGGGCGCCCGGCCACCCGTCGGGCCAGGGAGCAGCGCGTGCGGAGGGCGCCCGGTTGCAACAGGTGGCGGGAGCAGAGCCTGGGTAGGCGCGGCCGGGAGGGGCGTGTCTGGGGAGAGGTCTGACCACGCCCCTCCTTCCCGGGGGGAGGGGATCCACTCTGCTCCCCCACCAGCCAATCAGGAGTTCGGATCCTCTCACTGCCTTGCAATTGGAGCCCCCACTCCCCTCCACCGGCTGGAGCGCTTTGCAAACTGCTCCTAAGGTGATGGGGGGGGGGGGCTGCAACTTGGAAGCCCCCCCTTAAGAAAGGCACCCTCAGAGGGGTCTCTTGGGGGTCTCATCGGGGATGGCTCCAGGCGATGTTGGCTTTGCAGGGAGGCTGGGAGCTGCAGCGCTTCTCAAGCTTGGCAGCTCCAAAGGCTGGACTCCAACTCCCAGAATCCCCCAGCCAGCTGCTCTTGAACCTGAAGAGGGGGGATGGGTAGGAACTAAGAGCCTTGGTAGTACAGTGGTCTAAAGCACCCTGTTATTAAGATCAGCTGCCTGCAATTACTGCAGGTTCGAATCTCGCCAAGGCTCACGGTTGACTCAGCCTTCCATCCTTTCTAAGGCAGGTAAATTGAGGACCCAGTTTGTGGGGGCAATAAGCTGACTTTGTATAAATATACAAAAGGATGAAGGCTATCGCTTAGCGCATTGTAAGCCGCCCTGAGTCTCCGGAGAAGGGCGGCATATAAATCAAATTTTTTTAAAAAAACTTCCAAATTCTTTTTTGCAAGCTTTCCTGAAAATGTTGCACACTTTTTTTTAAAAAAAAACCTAAAATATCAAGATAATAGTTATTTTCATTATTCCCGCCCCAAAAAAGACACCAGGGTGTTAAAGAGTGTTTATTAAATCCGTTTATTCTAATTTTCCTCAGCTAAACAGCTCCCCTTTGCCATATTCTTCAGGATTGGAAGATTTCCTTTTTTCCCCATGTTTAAATACAATAAAGTATGAAAAATCAAAAGAATCGGTGAAGGGAGATTGGCAGTTTTCCCACCTGGGCAGCTACATCGCCTTACACCAAGAATATTCCTATTTCGCTTAGCAACGGAAAGTTTGAGCTCAACTGTGGTCGTAGGTCAAGGACTACCTAGCATTTTCAAGAACTCCTTTGAACCCGCTATTATAACCGGCCACGTGTGGCAAATGGATTTAGTAGTGAGGATTCCACAGTTGGCCACGGAGAGGCTTCAAATCCTCCAGACTTCGGTGGAGAGGGAAGAAATGGATGGTTGGCCATCTGTGGAGTCCGTTGATGGAAACACCCCGGCTGAGGATGATGGGTTTCCTTCCAGTCTCTCTCGCCTCCAGCTGATCTCTCTCGGACCATCACGGGCAGGGGTGGCGGGGGTCCTTCTGATTGGGAGGTACGTATAAGATCCCCCTCTGAGCCCTGCAGGGCTGGTAAGGGGAGATGCCCACGGGGGGCTCTGCCACGCAGCCCGTGGAGAAGTTGCTGAAGAGGGAAACCTTGATTTGGACCAGCAGCTGCCGCCCCTACGAACAAAGAGGGAAGAGTCAAGAGGGCCGCGCTGGAAGAGGCCTGCACTGCAGGGAGGGTAGCAAACCCACCTGCCCGTCCGTCACACACTGCAGCTGGAACCGGGGTCCCAGGAGGGGCTCCAGGGCGTCCACGAAGGTGCTGAGCTGGGGAGAAGAGAGGGTGGAAAGGGAGGGGGAGTCAGGGAAGAGAGACCCAGCAATTCTGGGGGTGATGACTCCAACGCCCCCCCCTTTGCAGCTAAGAAACCCACCCACCCAGACACGGTCAATTTGAAAGATAAGTCTAGCATTATGACGACATGTAGTCCTCAATTTATGACCTCCGTTGCTAAGCACAGCAGCTTTGCCCCATTTTTCAGCCTATCTTGCTGCCACCATAGTGGCAGTTTCCCCATTGACTTTGCTTGTCGGACGGTCGCAAAAGGGGATTACGTGACCCCCGGGACACTGCGACCGTCATAACTATGAGTCAGTTGTCAAGCATCCAAATTTACAAACTTACAAACATTGGTTTAGTGACTGAAGTTACAACAGCGCTGAAAAAAAAGTGACTTATGACCTGTCCTCACACTTATGACCGGTCCTCACACTTAGGACTGTTGCAATATCCCCATAGTCAGTTGATCAAAGCTTGGCACGCAGCCTGGTTGCAAAAATCTTTGAGGTCATGTGATCCCCATTTGCGACTTTCCCAGCGGTTTCCGACAAGCAACGTTAAGAAGGGAAGCCGGATTCACTTAGCGACCAAGTGATTCAAACAAGAGGCTATTTCGGCCATATTCTGCAGACCCTCAATTCTTGGGAAGTGAAGGAAAAAAATGGGTACCTGGTAACTCTGCCGGCAGGAGGGAATAATCTCAACCTTTTCAAAAGCCCTGCAATTAAAAAAAGGAAGCAACACGGAGCTAATTAATGGAAAGTCAGGATAATTTTGGCTTTATTTGAGATTTTAAAACTGGACTTTACAAGTTAATCCTCTTCATGGCTGAGATTCCTAGTTAAGCTGAACCGAGCCCTCATCTCCCTGCCCTTTGGCCAGATCATATTTATTTAATCTTATTTATTATTTAATCTTATTTATTAATCAAATTTGTGCAGTCCAGCTCAACTCGGAGGAGGAACAAGGCATAATTTGATATTGTAAACTGCCCGCAATCATTGCACAGGAAATGTGCAGCAAATGAACTTCATAATAAAATAAAATAATTTGAGTCCTGGTGACTGTACGCATCCAGGGTGGGGGTATGCTGTGAACCCCTGTTTTCCATAACCATGATTTCCTAAACAAACCAAGATGGGCTGCAATCTTACAGCTTGCTCTTCTAAAAGCCAGCAAACCACCTTCTCCTGCCTAGGATGAGGGAATCTGGCCCTTTAAGGCTGCAACACCTGCATTTCCAGCTAAGTCACCCTTTATTATTTCTGGGTTGAGAGATGGGGGAGCTGGAAGTGGAGCCCCCAGGGCAGACGGGATCATTTAACCCAGATTTTCAAGATAACCAGAGCAACTCGACAATTTTCCCTTTAAAAGAAGCCAACTTTAAATTTCTGCTTCAAATTCCCGTGGAAGTCGGGGTCCCCTTGGAACCCCCTTTTTTTCTGGGTCACCTGTCAATATTGTATTTGGTGTGCAGGAAGAGCGCAGCCCCGAAGAATTTCTTTGGACTATTCAGGGTTTCGATGCAACCACCACAAGTTCCGTGTTTTTCCCATTCTTTCTCCCTGGAAGAAGAGAAACGTTCATGGAGGATATTTCTAGAGGTAGTCCTCGACTTACGACCGTTCATTTAGTGACCATTCCGCCCCTTCCTCACACTTACAACCGTTACTGCATCCCTCACGATCACATGATCAAATACACATAGTCACGTGTTTTTAAAAGGGTTGCAGCGTCCCGGCCTCACGTGATTGTCATTCGTGATGACAATCAGAGTCAATTGGGGTGGGGGGGAACGATTGGATTCACTTAATGACTGCATGATTCGTTTAACAACTGCAGGATTTGTTTAACGATCGTAGCCAAAAAAAGGTTGCAAAATTGGATTCACTCCACAAGTCTCTTGCTTAGCAATGGAAATTCCAGTCATAAATCAAGGACTGCAGCTTTCTAGCAGCTACGTAGTTCTAAGATGTGTGGACTTCAACTCCCAGAATTCCCCATGCTGGGAGTTGAAGTCCACACATCTTAAAGGGGCTACGGACGGCTGAGAAACCCTGGATGAAAGGACCTATGTCCAGGGGTGAAATCCAGCAGGTTCTGACAGGTTCTGGAGAACCGGTAGCGGAAATTTTGAGCAGGTCGGAGAACTGGCAAATACCACCTCTGGCTGGTCCCAGAGTGAGGTGGGAATGGAGACTTTGCAGTATCCTTCCCCTGCCACGCCCACCAAGCCATGCCCACCAAGCCACACCCACAGAAGCAGTATTAAAAAAAAATTGGATTTCACCACTGCCCATGTCCATTATCGCTTCTCCTCTGTCCCCCCCCATCCCCACCCCACCCACCATCAACCAGGCGGCCACAGGGTCACCCTTTCCTTCTAACTGGGATTACCAAAACTGGAAGTTACTGAGATTGGTGAAAGTTGGCCAATGATGGTTCAATTCAGGCACCAGGTTCTGTGAGAAGGAGAAAAAATATACATGAATATATATATTAATGAATATATATAATGAATGGTGGCTGGGGAATTCTGGGAGTTGAAATCCACAGGTCCTAAAGCAGTCAAGGTTGGACACCCCTGTCCAATCCCATTCCGGATAAATGATTGTCCAATCTCTTCTAAAAAACCTCCAGTGATGAAGCACCCACAACTTCTGGTGGCAAGCTGTTCCACTGGTTAATTGTCTTCACTGTGAGGAAGTATCTCCTTAATTCCAGGTTGTTTCTCTCCTTGATTAGCTTCCCTCCTTTGTTTCTTACCCTGCCTTCAGGTGCTTTGGAGAATAGGTTGACCCCCTCCTCTTTGGGGCAGCCCCCACAAATATTGGAAGATGCTATCATGTCATCCTTAGTCCTTCTTTACATTAGACTAGACATCCCCAGTTCCTGCAACCGTTCATTCTATGTTTTAGCCTCCAGACCTCTGATCATTTTTGATGCTCTCCTCTGTATGTCATATTAGGGGGCAGGAGATTGGAAAAAAACCCCGCTCCCTTGTTTTGTAGATCCTAGCTCAGACTTAGTCTAACTTTGTTGTCATTCTGAATGTACATTAAAGTGAAATTTCGTTGCATACAGCTTTCAAAGGTTGACCCCTTCCAATATACACTGCATAAACCTGACAAATGAATAAATACATATAAAATTATTAAAAAATTGATTAATGGCATATAAAGGCAGAGAACTCTGTAATGGTAGTTTAATACTCTGACGATGTCAGCAGATGGCTGACGAAAGCTTAGTAAAATAAAATTTTAATTCTTTTAAAATTTTAAAATCTTAAGTTCTGGAGTTCGCAGTAAATCTACTTCTTTTTTTACTAATATACCTGGAACTCGTATTTTTAGAATAGTTTATATAAAATTATGCATATACCTACATATATTATATGACACATATTTTCCCCTTTAGCGTGACTGTAAGATCCTCATCCATGCTATGTTTTTACCAACATCCAGACAGAAAAGTAAGTCTACCTGATGCGCTACTAAGCCAACATTCAGTTGATCTTCTTTTGTTGAACAAGCTGCGCCGTGCAAAGTCCATCCAAGGTTATTGGATAAGAGGACCCGGGCAAAGAACGAGACTACAATAACAATGAGCCTGGTGATGCCCTTAGGAGAAACCTTTACATACCGTCAGGTCGGAAGGGAAAAGATGCCAATAGGGACAGCATTTCTGGATGTCACTGGGCCTGTGGAGAGAAAGGGTTAAGGCCACGATCCAAAGTTCGGTAAGCATCCCTTTCTCAGCTTCCCTTGGGGAAACTCCATTTCCCAGGGTGCCCTTGGTGGGAGCCATGATGGCCGAAAGAGGGGGGGAAGAGGGATTGGGGTTACAGGAAAGGCAGGTGTTTCATTTCAAATGGGAGCAGCTCACCATAATCCATGGATGGTCCAGTTCTTTGCCTTCTTCTCGGACATGACGCACCCATACTTGCTCGGTAGAGACTTCGAGCAAAAGAGGAAAAAAAATAACATTGTGGGTTCCTTGGTGCTCTCTGACCTTTGTGGCTTTCTTGCAGACGTTTCATGACCCAATTAGGTAACCTGATCAGTGCTAAAGAGAAGTACCAAAGCACTGATGGTTTTTTCTAGTTGGGTCATGAAACGTCTGCAAGAAAACAACCAAGCTCAGAGAGTACCCAGTTCAGCCCTGAGCTACAGATATTCTCTTCAATTGGTAAAAATAAAACTGATACTCTCTTTCCTGTCCTGATAACACTGTCTGATTCACCCGTTAATCCCAAAATCCAACACACACACAGCCCTTGTCCCAGTCCAATCTGAAGATCGTTTCAAAAACGGATGGTCAGTTTGACTTGCCCCTCCCTTCCCTAAGAAAATGTGAGAACTGTGATCCAATCTCATCCTGAAACCTTCCAATGGATGGAGCACCCACAACTCCTGGAGCGAAGCTGTCCCACTGATGGTTCATTAATTGTTGAAATCCAACCCTAGATGAGCTCTTTGGAGGGGGATGCGTTGAGCCCTCCTCTTTGGAAGGAAACCTGGTGGTCTACTCACCACGCAGAAGGAGCTGGGCCACATCTGGACGAAGATCAGGCATTCCCAAGGACAGAGCCTGTGAGAAAAGTCAACCCCTTGATCACTCTGCCTTGGGTTCCCCAGCCCTCGCCCCTTGCAAGGTGTCCCGCCTACCTGGAGTAGTCTTTCTCCGACTTCTCCCACAGCTTCTCAGAGCTCAAGAGGTACAAGAAAGAGCTGGTGTAGAGGAAGCCCAGCGTGGCCCAGCTCAATGACATGTCTGCAAGGGAAGCAGAAGGGGGTCAGAGCAGAGCTGGTCATCTCCTGGCATCCCCTTAGGCCAGGAGACCTCGTGTTCTTCAGAGGCTCAGGAAGAATCGTTGGCTCCAAGAACTTGGAGAAGTTGGCCAAATTGATGAGAATTCACAGGTTCCTGGTAGTAGAACCTCTACCGCAGAAGATTCCAGATTTGGTTGGTGAAGTCTTCCTGGAAAGTTAGAGGGTGCCACTCAAAATGCTAGAGGACCTCTGGCCAACACTGATGGTCCCCGTCGGCAAGGTTCAGCTTCTCTCCCAACCAGCAGGACAGTGAGTAGCGTACCTGATGCCACCACATCTGTCCCCTCCAAACTCCAGAAGCCAACTTACTCTGCAAGAAGCAACATCCAACTGCTTTCACTTCTTCACAGATGGGGAGGAAGCAGGGTTCAGCTGTGACCCACACCCAACCCCCCACGAGGCCTCACATCCTCCTGAAATGATGGGCTGGCGGAAGAGGTAGATGGAGACCTCAGGGTTACCCAGGACGGCTCGAGGCACAATTCCTCAACCTGGGCCACTTGAAGATGGGTGGACTTCAACTCCCAGAATTCCCCAGTCAGCATGACATTCATGCTAGGGATGGTTCCCTTAATTCATGGTTGCTCAACCTTAAAAACGTTTAGAGACATGCCTGATTTTACACCATGGTTGTTAAGCGAATCAATGCAGCTGTTAAGTGAATCATGCGGGTCGTTAAGCGAATCCAGCTTCCCCCATTGACTTTGGTTGTCAGAGGTCAACTGGGAAGGTCACAAGTGGTGGGTCACGTGACCCTAAGTACATGCCGGTTGCCGAGTGCCCAATTGCAATCCCAGGACAGAAGGGATACTGCAACAGTTGTAAGTGCGAGGACTGGTAATCGGTCACTTGTTTCAGTGCTGTTGTAACTTTGAACGGTTGCAAAAGGAATGGTCATAACTTGAGGAGTATCTGTAGAAATATTCCAAAGCTGAAGAATGACTGAGCTGGAAGGGTCCGTGGAGGTCATCTAGACTAACCCCCTGCTCAAGCAGGAGACCCTACAACAAGGGTGTCCAACCTTGGCCACTTTAAGACCTGTGGACTTCCAATTCGACAGGTCTTAAAGTGGCCACGTGTGGAGACCCCTGCACTGCGTGGGGAATTCCGGGAGTTGAAGTCCACAGGTCTTAAAAGTGGCCAAGCTTGGACATCCCTGCCCTATGACATTCCGGACAAATGGCTGTCCGGTCTCTTCTTGAAAACCTCCAGTGGTGGAGCACTATGACTTCTGTACCCCAGCCAATTACTTGGGGCAGGGGTCTTTAAATCTGGTACCAAGCGGAGAAGATCCCCCTCGCTTCCCCCTGTTCCCCCTTCGGATGTATGTGGGGGGGGAGCAGGACGTTCAGTTGCAACTAGTATTTTGACCTTCCCAGCTTCCCTTACTCCTGGCATCTGGTCAAGCCACTTCCAGCTGTCTCCACCCCCGTCAGCTGTTTTGGCACTAGCGGTAGTATCCTTGGAGAGGCCCCCGCAGAGGACGAGGCCCACCTCGAGCGAAAGAGCAAAGCAGAGAGAAGCAGACCCAGGAGAAAATGAGATCCTTGCTGGTAAAAGCAGAATTTGGGGGGGAGCAAAAAACAAAAAAAACCCAGTTCATTGCAGGGGTTGAGCAAAAAAGCCAACAACAACAAACTGCCCTTTGGCCGTGCAATTCGCACAAACCAACGTTTTGGAGGAGTAACAGGTCTCCCTTGTAGCTCCGATTCTGGGTTGGTGGGAGGCAAGACAGCTGGCCACATCTGGTCAATCGAAAGAAAGACATTTCAATTCTGCTTTTTGGTCCTCCCGGGGGAAGAAAAAAACACCCAGGAAATGCCAGTGGGTGTGAGGGGGTTGAGGGTCTTTTGCACTTATTTACTTGCAAAAAGCAGAAGTGGGAAAAATCATGCGGGGCAACTGGATCTTTTGACGGCTAACTAAGTTCCTTCTACCTTTTTTCGGAGGGTTTGTGAGTTCCTTGCAAACTTAGTTTCCTTTCCCACAACCTACCCGAGGGGAGGGGGTGTCTACTTTTCACACACCCCTGTGCCCACGACAGAAGAGAAACTGCACAGGCGGTTGTGATCGAGTCACAAACTGCTCCTCTGGCCGCATTTTTTTGAACCCGAGAAGAGGAAAGGAAAGGAAATGATTTATTTTTTTGCTACGGCCCCTAACTCAAGGGGCTGCCCTCCTTTGCCCCCCCCCCCAGATGCCTTTTTCCTGTCTCAAATGTTTTTGGGGCAGGGGGAGGCATTGGGGTGGTGGCAGAGGTGGGTTTCAGCAGGTTCTGACCAGTTCTGGGGAACCGGTAGCAGAAATTTTGAGTAGTTTGGAGAACCCGTAGTAAAAATTCTGACTGGCCCCGCCCCCATCTATTCTCTGCCTCCCAAGTCCCAGCTGATTGGGAGGAAATGGGGATTTTGCAGTATCCTACCCCTGGATTGGAGAGGGAATGGAGATTTTACAGAATCCTTCCCCTGCCACACCCACCAAACCATGCCCAGCAAACCCCCCCCCCCCTTAATAATAGTATGGGATAGATTGAGGGATTGCCCCAAAATGAGATATGGTTTCCTGCCTGAGCAGCGGGCTGGACTAGAAGACCTCCAAGGTCCCTTCCAGATTCTATTCTATTCTGTTCTTTCTCCTTGATGGATTTGTAAAATTAAAAAAAAGAATTTTTTGGGGGGGGGGCAAACTCTTTATTAGATCTTATTTTGGTTACAGGTGACTCGCTTACAGTCCCTTCGATGCTTCACCACCTCCGGCCGGCAAATGGAAAACAAAGTCCCTGAATATCAGAAGCTCTTCCAGGTGAGACGTCGGCCACATCCCCACAATCCTTGTGACCCCATTTGCGGCTGCCAGGCTCTCAACCTGAGTGTGGGCAGACGGACCTACAACCTGCAGCCAAGCCGTGAAAGCCCCCACTGGCATTGCGCTTGTTGCATCAGAATTTCCATTGCTGAGCGAGGCGGTTGTTAAGCAAGTCACACTCAATTTGACATCCTTTTCGCCAGAGTTGTTAAGTGAATCAGGTGGTCGTTAAGCAAATCTGGCTTCCCCCGTTGACTTTGCTTGTTGGAATCTGGTTGGCCAGGTCGCAAGTGGTGATCACATGATTCTAGGATGCCGCACCATCCAACTTTCACGCCTAAGGCGGGACTAGAATTCCCCGTCTCCTGGTGATTGGCCCAAAGTCACTCAGCTGACTTTCGTGCCTAAGGCAGGACTAGAACTCACTGTCGCCTGGTTTCTGGTCTGGCGTTTTAACCAATAGACCAGACTGGTTCTAGGTCTATTTTGGGAGCTACTCAGCAGCCCAGGAGCAGTTGGAGCAGCCACAACTCCCCTCCTCAAAGTGGGGCTTCTCAGCCTGAGCCCTTTTAAGAGGTGTGGACATCACTGAATTAAGTGGGGGTCTCTCGTGCTCTCACCCCAGGCGGATAACGATTTGCCAGTGCACCTGAAAGGGGGGATGTCCGATATGGTGATGTATCGCGTCACCATGATCATCGGAACCGTGGGTGAGTGAAGTCGACCCTTCCCCATCTGGGCTTTGGGGGCTGAAAGACGGGGGGGCTGCAGAGGGGGGGTGAGGGTGGGTGGGTCCAAAAATTCAAAATGTGAAGCGACAAAGGTTCACATGAAAGCAACAATGGCATCAACTGACAGCAGACTCTTATGGGGAACGTACGTACACACGGACCCACAAACACACATAGCTCGGTCATAGAAACCCAGCTGCTCTGCCCCCCCCCAATTCAAGGGTGGGCCTAGGGTGGCCCCATGGAAATTGTTCTCTGGGGTCGGCCGGATGAACAAAGTGGCCAAATTACAGGTCAGCCTCGATTTACGACCCCAGTTGAGGCTGTTGCTAAGCCAGACAATGGTTAAGTGAGATTTGCCCCATTGAATGACCTTTTTGGCCACTGTTGTTAAGCAAATCGCTTTCATCATTAAGCCACTCATGCGGTCCTTAAGCAAATCTGGTTCCCCCGTAAACTTAACTTGTTAGTAGTCGGCTGGGAAGGTTACAAATGGTGATCGGGTGATCCTGGGGTTGCTGCAACCGTCATAAATATGAGTCAGTTGCGCCAAGCGCCCCAGTTTTGATCCCGTGACCGTAGGGATGCTGCGACCGTCATAAGTGTGACTGGTTGCTTTTTTCAGTGTTGTGGCAGCTCACGAAACCAACGGTTGTAAGTCGAGAACCAACTGGGTTTTAACTTAGCCTGTTTTTGAATGTGTCTCTCCAGGCATTAGCTATGCGCTCTATGGCATATATGAGCTTGGAAAAATCAAGAAGCATTGAGAAGGAAGCCGGGAACGCAAGGCCAGACCTTGCTGGGACCCCCACCCCACCCCGCCCCACCCTGCCCCACCCCTGCTCCTGTTTAGAAAACTCCGGAAGCAGAGAAGAGCAAAACCTATTTTGGGGCGCTTGCAAGATCGAACCAGCAAGGAAACGTGTGTGGAGGTTTTTTCCCCAAAGTGTATGTGATGCCTAGAGCGACATGAATAAACAGACGCAACAAAGACCATGATTTGCCTGGACTTTAAAACCCATCACGCACGTCGTAAGTCAGAAACAGATTTTAAAAAAATACGGAAAGAAAAACAGGCACAGTGTTGAAATCCACAGTGACATGTAAGCCAAGCCACATTTTCAGGGGTGGTGCACAGGCTGGACACGGGGAGGGGGGCTGCCTTCTTGCACTCGCTGGCCTGGGTTCTTCTCTCCCTTGGGCCATGCCAGCCTTGCCCAGTCTCGTGCCTGGCCAAGCGGGCAACTTGGTTCTCCTCCCTTGCCTCAGGACAGACCCTGGAGGAAGGCTGGATGGAGCCTAAATATAAATTAAAACTGATGTTTTTTTTAATGGACCCACTTCTAGCCACATCATCGGGTTGATACCCCAGAAGAGATCACCCCTGTCGCTTTCGGCATTCACCTCCCCATCCCTGTTTGGATGACCTCAAGTGTCCCACCAGGGCTCTTGGCTTCCCCAAGCTCTGTAGCCTTCAGCTACAGAAACATTCGTGGCCCCACTAAGCCAAATTGAGGGGATGTTTATTTTTGCCATTGGGCTGAAAAATAGCCGTTCCTAGCTTTTTCCCCGTGGGGAATCCGGGAAGCGGCCTAGTCAGTTTCTCAGAGAAGTTTCTTTCCTCTTCAAGAGTGGAGGCTGCTCATCGGCCGTCTTAGCCATTAAAGAGGAGGTGGTCTGGGTGGCACCGAGACAGCCCAGCGGGTTCTTGTGCCAAGGGAAACATATATACACACACACACACACCCTGGGGCCAAAGCTCGAGTGAGGCCCCCTCCCTTGCCATTTGCGTGGGCATCACTTTAGCAACCAGGAAGCATGCATGTTGGTTCAGAAAATGGATAAGATTCACGCAGGAAACTTGGTTTAAATCGCTTGGCATCCACTCCGGAGCTGAGGACGGAAGTTGGTAACTGTGGTTGCATTTGGTGAAGTGGGGGGGGGGGAGCAGGGGGGACAACACGAGGGGCCAAAGTGGCCTCAGGCTTTCTTCAGCATCTTGGTGGTCTGGTTGTTGGCCTCGTTGATGCTGATCACATTGGCAATGGCCTGTGGAGGAGGAAGAAGAAGAAAATGAAGGAACGCTGAGCAGGGGGTTGGACTAGATGACCTTCAGGGTCCCTTCCAACTCTGTTATTCTGTATTCTATCTAAATCAGTGTTTCTCAACCTTGGTAGCTTGAAGATGGGTGGACTTCAACTCCCAGAATCCCCCAGCCAGCAGCGCTGGCCACCCATCTTCAAGCTTCCAAGGTTGAGAAACACTGATCTAAATGGTTGCCAAGGTAACCATGGGGGAACAGCTTTTGCTTTTTAAATAATAAAGCAATAGCGCCCTCTGCTGTTGAAGCAAGGAATAGCTGCAGCAACCTACAGATAAGTCCTTGACTTACGACCCCAATGGAGACCACAATTTCTGCTGCTCAACAAGACAGTTGTTAAGTGAGTGGAGCTCCATCCTGCGACCTTTCTTGTCACCGTTGTGAAGTGAATTACTGCCATTGTTATGTGAATCTGCCTCTCCCATTGGCTCTTCTTGCCAAAAGGTCGCAAAGGAGGATCACATGACCCTGGGCCACGGCAACCGTCATAAATATGAGTCAGTTGCCAAGCTTCTGAATTTGGTTCATGCGACCACAGGGATGGTGCAAGGCTCATGCGTGTACAAAGCGGTCATCGATCACTTTTTTCTGTGCCGTTGTTAACTTCCCAATGGTCACTAATTGAGTGGTTTTAAGCACACAATCCAATCCAATCCAACCAATCAATTAATCAATAAATCTTATTGTCTCTGTTCCAGAACATTGAGCAAAGGAAGAATACCAGTGCCCCGCTCCAATAAATGAATGGGACAGAGCCAAGCAGGTCATCGCCATCACAGCTGTGGTGCTACTGGCTTTGCACCATCGACCCACACACCGCAACCCCACGTTACACCAAGACAACCTTTTTTTAAAAGAATCACTATTAATTCTCCCTCACCCCCATTCCCGTCTCCAATACATGCTTGCGTTTGTCCTCCCTGGCCCAAAAAATCTGAGCAGTTGCCATGATTTCAAAAAATAATGATAACGGCTGCAAAGACACCATTCCTCTGTGGTTCTTAAAAGCCCCTTGCAAATGGTAATGGTGGAGGGATAGCTTGCAATTAGATACATTGACTTTGGCTTGCAGTTTAATTTAATTTAATTTAATTTCCAATTTATATACCGCCCTTCTCCCTGAGGACTCAGGGCGGTGTACAGCCAAGATAAAAAACATAGAATATAAATATTAAAAAACATTTAAAAATATATATAAATTTTGGCCCGAAAGTTAAGAAATCACAAACTAATTAAAAGAATTTAAACATTTCTTCTTAAGCCAACCCGGCTTGCTGGAAAAGATGGGTTTTAAGGGAACGACGGAAGGCATTGAGGTCATGGATTCTCCTTATTTCCGGGGGCAACTGATTCCAGAGGGTGGGAGCCCCCACCGAGAAGGCCCTCCCTTGGACTGCATGGCTGGCTGGGGAATTCTGGGAGTTGAAGTCTATGCGTCTTAAAGTTGTCAAGGTTAGACACACCACTGATCTATTCTAGACTGCGGTTTTTCTTTTCGTTTTCTTTTCAAATTCTGCTAGGTGACCATTAACCCGTGTCATTTATTCAAGGTATGAATTTGGATGTTACATTTACAATCCTAATTAATTGCGCCTTAGCCCAGGCTTAACCCACCTTCTCTTTGATATTCTCCACCTGCTTGCTCTGGACATCAATTTCGTTGCTCATGTCCACCGCCATGCTGCGCAGGTTACTCAGCATACTGTCCACCTGGGTCAAATTCTGCTCCAACTCTTCCTCCACGTCGTCCTTCATTATCCTGGGTAAGAACAGACGTGCAGGGATCCATTTGGATCACGCAAGGACGGATTCCGGGACTCATAGTTAGCATTCACAGGTGATCAACTTGCTCGTGTTAGCAAGGAGTGACCACGACATTCAAGAGTCCCCAAGTTCTCCCCCAACTCCTCCTCCTCCTCCTCCTCCTCTTCCCTGCAAACCCCACTCCCTCCTAGCACTGATGATGTTCCCTAGTTGGGTCATGAAATGTCTGCAAGGAAACAATGCAGCTCAGTGAGCACCAAGAACCCCATAGTCCTCCTCCTCTTCCTCATTCCCCTCCTCCTCTCCACAACCCCCCCCCTTCTAGCACTGATGATGTTCCCTAGTTGGGTCATGAAACATCTGCAAGGAAACCTCCAAGCTCAGAGATCACCAAGGATCCCTTAGTCTTCCTCCTCCTCCTCCGGCCCTTCGCCCTACCTCTGGATGAAGGGCCCACTCATCATCATCTGCGTCCCGGCAGTCATCATGATGGGCTGCTGTGACACCACATCCTGGGAGTTGCCAGAAGCCGCCTTACTGGCCTCCATGGCCTTCATGTTCTTTAACCTGGAATGGAGAAATGAAGAGAGAAAAACCCACTTCGGCTGTCATCCTCGCTTCCACCATCACTGAGCCTCCCTCCTAGAAGACACGGGAGGTGCGGGGGGGTCCCGGAGGCTCAGAGAAGTCAAGATGGCAGCCACCACCATGCGCTCCAAGGCTGGTCCCTTTTGTTTTAGGCTGCCATCTTGACTTCTTTGACTTTCCCTCCCTGCCCTGGAGACGCTTCTGTGGGAGAAAACCCCTCCAGGGCCCCTTCTTTGGAGGGTGAGAGGGCAGAATAAATCCATGGAGGAAAAGCCAGCAGAGAGCCACAAGGAGGAGGAGGAAAGCCTCCTTATGCAAGAGCAGTCTATCTGCAAACCTGCACCTTGGAGAGGGCTTGTGAAATCCAGGACTGAAGCACCCGGCTTCAATCTGGCACGGTCTACTTAGCTGATGTGTTGCGTACACACATGCAGACAAGATGCCACCGTGGCTCGCATCGTGCTTAAACCACGAATCCTGGCTTAACCGTTTCCCACGACCACCGGAGAACTCACTTGGCACAGGGGCAGACGAAAAGGCCGCAACATTTGGCCATATCGCTGAGGTTCTTCTCGGCTTCCTTCATGTCTTGGATAATCTGGTCTAAGCCATCCTCAATGCGGTCCAGCTGCTCTGAGGGGGAGAGAGAAGACTGTGAATACGGGGCTCGGGAAGGGCCCTCCTGAGGGCATCCATACGGGCGGGACGGTTGCATCCAAAGAGTCAGGATGGAGGCAACCATCCTGCAGATTTTGGGACCATTTTATCCTGTGTGGTTGTTAAGTGAATCATCCCAGTTGTTAAGTGGCTCGTGCTCAACCTGATAGCTAGGATTAATTAAATTAATTAAAGCTCCACCCCTTTTTTTTGCTTGCATGGCACCTGTCACCCCAGAATTTCCATCGCTAAGCAAGGCGGTCGTTCTGTGAATCATGTGTGATTTTACCCCCTTTTCGCCACCTTTGTTGATTCACTGTTAAGCGTATCATGCAGTCACTAAGTGAATCCAGCTTTCCTCCATTGACTTTGCTTGTCGGAAACTGGCCAGGAAAATTGCAAAGGTTGATCCCACAACCCCAAGACACCACAACCATCCTGAATACATGCCAGTTGCCAACGTCCAAATTTTGATGGTGTAGCTGTGGGGAATTATGATGGTCATAAGGGTGAGGACCAACTCATTAACTGATTGTGATGGGCCTGAATTTATTTTGCTTTCTTCTCTGGTATCTTTGCAGCAGCCAGAACTGATACAACCAGATAAGCAATGAGCAGGCTCAAATTTTACGCTGTCATAATATGATTTCATTTAACATGGGGGTGTAATTGTGGTTTATAAGGGGTCTTCAATTTTGGCAACTTTAAGACTAGCGGACTTCAACTCCCAGAATTCTTCAGCTGGCTGAGGAATTCTGGGAGTTGAAGTCCACCAGTCTTAAAGTTGCTACAGTTGGAGATCCCTGGTTTATAAGACTTGGGTGCATCACATAAACCATGGTTAAAGCAACTGCAATTTAGGATGCGGGGATTATCCAGCAATCTTCACACTGCGATAAATCCTCAGAATTTACCCCCTTGGTCGTCCAGCATAACCAGAGTTCGAATCCCGGCATCTTTGCTCTGTTGGAAAATCAGAAATAAACAAGAATGAACAATGGCTTGGTAAGAATTCCAAGAAATGGGCGTCTCATTTTTCCTCCCCAGTGATCTAGTCATAAACAAGCCATTCATTCCTCCCTCGCTTCGTTTCTTACCTCATCCACCAGCTGCAGCATTCGCCTGGTACTTTCCAAAGACTGCGGAAAAAAATAAGGAAAGAAGAATGCAATATTAGAAAAAACAGTTGTTATCCTTCCATATTGTGGGTTTCAAAAGAGTGGACTAAAAAAAAATATCTATTTTTTAACTAAGAATCCTGGAAACTCCATTGCAGACGTTCCAAAATTTCAGATTTAAAAAATAGATTTTTTTTTTTAAAGAGTCAGATTCTGCTGCCTATTCTGCATATTTTTCTCATTAATTGGAAGTGAAAAATATTAGGCATAATCAGCTCTAAAGCTCTCCAGGTGCTGTCAGGACCTACAAATCGATTGCAAAAGGAAAAATCCAGCGGATATTCCGGCTCCACATATATAGGTAGTCCTCGACTTACGACCACAATTGAGCCTGACATTTCTGTTGCTAAGCAAGACATTGGTTAAGTGAATTTTGCCCCATTTTTACAACCTTTCTTGCCACGGTTGTTAAGTGAATCTGGCTTCCTTGACTTTGCTGGTCACAAGATCTCAAAGGGGGATCAGGTGATCGTGACACACAGCAACGGTCATAAGTATGAAGTGGTTGCCTAGCATCTGAATGCTGATTACGTCGACTACAGGGACCCTACAGTGGTCGTAGGTGTGAAAAACGGCCATAAGTCACTTTTTTCAATTCTATGGCAACTTTAAACCATCATTAAATTTACTGTTGTATGTTGAGAACTATCTAGGAGTGGTCCGGTGGCCTAGAGGTGGAGCTCTTGCCTCACAATCAGGAGGTTGTGAGTTCGATCCTAGGTAGAGGCAGATATTTCTCTCTCTGGGCACACTTGAGAAAATATCTGCTGAACAAAACTCCGCATTGGCGACAAGAAGGGCATCCGGCGATTAAAAAATTCTCTGCTAGCTCCATTCAGTTGCCCAGGCTCCACCCTGCAAGGGATTATGGGGTCGTTAAATGAAGACAATGTTGAGAATTATCTGTATACCGTTCAGATTCTAGATTTCATTCAATCGTCATTGATTTAAATTTCTGTCCAGCCCTTAATAAAATAAGTCTGGAATTCAGTCCTTCCTTGTGGTTTTCCGTCTCTGAGGTTAAGAGAAAATTCCGCTGAAACTTTAATTAGAAGCTTTTTGCTGGAGGCCTCTGCCATTAATTGGTATTTGTTCCACGTGGCATGACTAGTAAACTGTTGATTAAACTGCTGTTTAATTGCCCTGCAACTGGATGGCTTTAATTACAATTTTCTTTCCTTGTATTAAAAAAAAACAGCACCGTCCTGCTAATCGAAAAATAAGAAAATGCCAGCCTCTTGAAGGACAGCTAAGGGGCCATTAACCAGTTATTTGCTAGTCAAGCTGCAACGTTGTGAAATACGAATTATTTCCAGGCTCAGGAAGCTGCTCATTTCAAAGGAGCAAAATATTAATTAAACCTGCAGGAGTCCTGACAAACCTCCTAGCGGTTTCCTAATCCACACTAAACAACTTGATCCTGCAATTTTATTTAATTTGAGGGTGGCAGGAGGAGCCACGGATCGGGTCAGAGGATGCACAGGGATATACAGGCAGTCTCCAACTTACAACCACGACTGAGCCTGAAACTTCTATTGCTAAACAAGACAGTTATTAAGTGGGTTTTGTCTCATTATACGACTTTTCTTGCCCCAGCTCTTAGGTCAGTGTTTCTCAACCTTGGCCGCTGGACGATGGGTGGACTTCAACTCCAACAGAATTCTGGGAGTTGCAGTCCACCCATCGTCCAGCGGCCAAGGTTGAGAAACGCTGTCTTAGGTGAATCACTGCCTGTTAGATTAGTCACATGGTGGTTAAGTGAAGCTGGCTTCCCCATTGACTTGGCTTGTCAGTTGGCGGCAAAGGGGGAATCACGTGACCCCAGGCGGGGATACTTCAACCGTCCTATGTATGAGACAGTTGGCAAGAGTCCAAATTTTGATCATGTGACCATGGGGAGGAACAATCGTAAGTGTGAAAAATGGGACATTTTTCCGTTTTAACTATGAATGGTCACTAAATGAATGGTTGTAAGTCAAGGACTTCCTGTAACAAGTTGGAAGTTTTGCTCTCTGGCTTTTGTTTGCAAAAAGCAAATAAATTCATAAAGGAAGGAAGGGAGGAAGGAAGGAAGGAAGGAAGGAAGGAAGGAAGGAAGGAAGGAAGGAAGGAAAAAGGAAGGAAGGAAAGAAGGAGGGAGGGAGGGAAGGAGGAAGGAAGGAAAGAAGGAGGGAGGGAGGGAGGGAAGCAAGCAAGGAAGGAAGGAAGGAAGGAAGGAAAAAGGAAGGAAGGAAAGAAGGAGGGAGGGAGGGAAGGAGGAAGGAAAGAAGGAGGGAGGGAGGGAAGGAGGGAGGGAAGGAAGGAGGGAGGGAGGG